ACAATAATTGCAAACAATTTGAAATTCAGGATTTACGTTTTACATGACAAAAAAATGAACTATAAAAATTTGCACCTTCCAGTGATGTGCGGAACATTGTTTTTTTTTGTAAAAATTAAACAATTATCAATTACTTCTTCCCAAAAATTGCTAACAAAGTGCAAATTTACAAAAACGCGACGACTGATCTTCCAAATCTTGTATTAATTTTGCACCTTTTTTCATTAAGCGGAACATAATGAAAAATTATTTATTGTTAAAAACTATTATATAGTTTCAGGAAAAAATGCTAACAAGGTGCAAATTAGGATGATGTACCGTAAATGCCAAACAAATAATTGTATATATTTGCACCTTTCAATCTCCTCCGGAAATGAGCGATTCGCATTAATATAACAGATTATATGTGAAAAAACACCATTATTTTGAGGGAAAATTGTTAACAGTTCAAAAACTAGGTGCAAATGTTCAAATTGATTGCCAGAATGTTATGCAACATTTGCACCCAAAAATATTAAGTGGAAATCTTTTTTTTTCTGATTTTTGTTTTTTACAATAATTATTGACATCGAGAAAATTACAAACATGGTGCAAATGACAACAGCAATTCTAAATATTATTTCAACCCTTACTTCGAGTTTGCACCCCTATATGAAGCACGGAATAAGTTTAAAATATTAAAAATAATCTGTGGTGCGGCACAGCGTAAATATTATTTAGAATTGCTGTTGTGATTTGCACCCTGTTTGTAATTTTCTCAATGTCAATAATTATTGTAAAAAACAAAAATTAGAAAAAAAAAGTTTCCACTTAATATTTTTGGGTGCAAATGTTGCATAACATTCTGGCAATCAATTTGAACATTTGCACCTAGTTTTTGAATTGTTAGCAATTTTCCCTCCAAATAATGGTGTTTTTTCACATATGATAATGCAAATCGCTCATTTCCGGAGGAGATTGAAAGGTGCAAATTTATACAATTATTTGTTTGGCATTTACGGTGCATGATCCTAATTTGCACCTTAGCATTTTTTCCGAAAACTATATAATACTTTTTAACAATAAATAATTTTTCGTTGTGTTCCGCCTAATGAAAAAAAGTGCAAAATTAATACAAGATTTGGAAGATCAGTCGTCGCGTTTTTGTAAATTTGCACTTTGTTAGCAATTTTTGGGAAGAAGCAATTAATAATTATTTAATTTTTACAAAAAAAAAAACACTGTTCCGCACGTCACTGGAAGGTGCAAATTTTTATAGTTCATTTTTTTGTCATACAAAACGTAAATCCTAAATTTCACATTGTTTGTAACTATTGTTAATTCCGAAGCCTCATTGACTGGCCTATATAAGTTCATCGAAGTTTAACACAATAATATTATCAGTAATATAATTGTGTATGTGAATATTTAGTTATAGTGAATCATAAAAAAAATTAGTGAGCATTTTAGAAGATAGACAAAATACAAATTCTGCTAGATGCTTTGCCTTCATCCAAATCTTACGGAGATGAGTTCTTTTAAGTGGTTAGTAGGTAAGCTCTGGAGCATAACAATCCTCAGATTTTAGTACCTTAGCCATAACCCCGGAAACCAGCCAAACGCTGCTGCCTAATTGCCATTATCAACATGATCAAAGAAGTCATGCCAGAAATCGAAAACCGCATTTGCACTCTGGAAACCAGACTTCCGAAATGAAATAACATGATGGCGATTAAAAAATCTCAACGTTCTGCTTTTCACACTTTCATCTATCTATATTGCTGAGCAAATATGGACAGCAAATTAATGGGTAAAAAATTCTTTGAACCATGAAAAATGCCTGGAAACATCTATTGCCATCGCCAAATTTTGAATTTTTTTCTTTAGAGATGATTCCAACTGACTCCCTCAATCACGCACGCCACTACATAATATCTTCATACAGGTTGAAGTAAAGGCTGTACTCTACAGACTGAACTATCTGAACTATGGCCAAAGTCCAATTATAAAACACCAAAGGACTATGAGCTGGAAAATAGGAAAGGATCTAGAGGTCAGCTCCTTATTCGAGGTGTCCTCAGATAAAAGAACGCCTATTTTCATCTTCAGTAGGCACTTTCGGGTTGCCATACCGGATAGGGAAGACTGGAAGGAAGGTCCTCCAATTAAAGCAGACCACATCTGGTACACCGACGGCTCCAAGACCAACAAGGGAGTCGAGGCTGGTATCTACGGAGATAGACTTACCGAGAAAAATTGACTACTACCAAGACGCACTACCTTCTTCGTCTATATCTCCACTCAGATCCATAATGATTTATTCTCTTCTTTTGCTAACATCTCTATGCCTGTCAAAGTGGGCTGTGACCTGAACGCAGCGCCTTAGATTGCTCGACTTTCCTGATTTCCCAGATCTACCATGTATGCATGGCTCTTCTTTCCTCGGATTGACGTCGCGGATACTAGACGAATGGCTACCTGGGTCCTGTTCCCTGTTGGTTGCGATGCTGCCAAAGATATCCACAAGTCACGGTGTTTCAGGCGGAAATCGCGGAAATGGACAGTTAAGAGTAAAAACATCGTTGGATCAGTTCCAAGCTGGTTGGGGACTGTATACGTCCTCTAGAGGAAGTGGACCTGTCCAACAAACTTACCATAGCCTGGAGTACCAGGCCATGAGGGCCACCCACCCAAAAGATCGACGACTTGGCTCTATTCCAAAATGCTTATGCTTCAAGAGTTTTCATTGAAAATTGAATTAATTCGTCATTTTTTTTTTTTAATAAACTTCTAACATCACCTCGGTATAATAAATTCACTGAACGATGTCATAAGATCGTATACCGAATCAATAAAAACCTCGACTCCGTGCACCCATCTATCTGAAAACAACACACAAATTACTTCACGCCTAATCCAATAATTCACAACCAAAACATTTAACCTAAACTCTTGTTAATAGTCGTTTTTATTGATCAATTAAATCCACCGATTTTCTCTTACGAAAATAATCAATCTGGCCCAGCTCTGATGTTATGTTTAACTGCCTGCTGCATCTTAAATGGCTATTGGAGTAAACAAAAATTGACGTACTTCCGTAGGATAGGTACTACTGCTCGGGAGTTTTCGTCCATCAAGGTGCCGGAAATCTTCCACATCTAAAGAATTGAATTAAATGAACACAGTGTAGTACTAGTGGAAATATTAATAGTTTTTCCTGTGGTACTAATAAGAGATAATCATCGTTATATTATTCTGACCATCATTTATCTTTTTTTTTCTTTGCTCAGATAGTTTCACAATACCTATTTTTCTTAGTTTCTTTGGTCCATTGATTTTCCCCTGTTCTCATTATCTTGGAATATTCCGGCAATATTATTGTTTTTTGAATCATTATTGCTGCTATTTTATCTTTGACTTTCTCGTCTTTGTCTTTGTTATTGCCATCTCTAGCTTAGACAAAATCAGAGATGACTCAGACCTGTTCCAAAATATTTCGAAATATCTCCAATCGATATTTTAAGCAGCAACGGTGAAACTCTTGGGATACAAAGAAGGACAAAGACAACGAAATAGAACCAAGAAACAAGCAAAAATGAGAATAAATGAAAAATGTGAATTCCGTACGTGCAAAAATTCGCTGTCCATTGGTTCATTTGGCATGTTGGCTTCTATCTCTATCACCTATGGTTTCTTCTTTGTATGTTCTTCCTTATGTTGTTTATATCTTATTTTTTTCCTTTTACAGTTTTTCTAGGCGATTTGTCCTTTTATTTCGTCGTCATGTTCCTTCCATATTATTTGGAGGTTATTGTTTTCGGCTTACCTTATCTTGGCTTCGCAATCCTTCGTTCGTGAAGGATAATAATAATAGGTCTGTTTCTGCAGGAATCCCAAACCAGCCCGAGCGAATTTCATTGATTGGAAACAGTCAGAAAACTAGTTTTAACCAATGAAATTCACTCTGACTGGTTTGTGATTTCTGCAGCAACAGACCTTTTAATACCCTCCTGAGTCATAAAGTCATAATACCTTGACTTCATGAAACTCCCTTCATGGTGATACAATAATAATTTTAGGAGAAGTTCTCCTGTGGTGTTAAAAAGAGTTTTGTGTAGCCTGATATGGACCTTTATTTTACCAATTCCTGTTTTCTACTACGCCAATGCCCAAAATGCATTTTCTTTATTGTATTTCGGCCTTTGTGATTCGGTGACACACGTGTTTTTTAATGACTGAAATTTTAGCTGAACGCCTTTGATGAAAACAGATGAACGCAATGTAAATATACAAAGGAAAAGAATAAGTGCCATCGAGTCTATTATGGCTACTGAGTAACTTCCAGCGCGCGTCTGGCCTTTATTTCTGATGTGTCTGCCTTTTACCCACACAATAAACAATTAATTAAACTGAGATAACAAATGTCGAAAATGCATTTTATGCGTTTCTTCACGCTTTTCGATCATTTTTTCCAGCTACGTCAGCTATTTTAAGATCAGGAAGGGGAACCCTTTCTAACTAATAGGCGATAATTGTTACAGATATTAACTTCCGTACTAAAAAGTGGAAAGGTTTCGCCACAGGCACGTGTCTCGAAGCTTTCAGCATTATGTAATATAATTGCAGTAGAAAATCGAGCCCGAAAATTCATTTTGGTTGATTGAAAATGACAACCAAGTTTCCGGTTCTGTAAACAGACCTGCAAAACGTGGTTTTGGCTTGGTGTTGGATATTATTAACGGTAATAGAATTTGCCTAATGAATAATAAATTATTCTTCTTCCTTCTTCCTGTTAAATTTTGTGATTTTATTGTAGGGGAGTATAAAAATTATTTACAGTATCGTCTGAATATACATATAGCAATACCTACATATCAAAATCAATCGCTTCAGAGATAGGGTTCTGGATTGAGGAGAGGACCTATACCTAAAGTTTGCCAATTTACCTTTAATTAACCTTCAGACCCTGGTCCAGAAAAAAACAAAATTTCCTAAAAAGAACTAAATCAACAAGATAGAGACGATACATTTATTAATTTAGCAAAATAATTCCAAAAATTATAATTTGATGGTAGATATCAAGATCTTAATTATCTACATGAGCCTACATTCTGCCGGTGATAATTCCATAGGCCTCCCGTCCGAAATGCATGTCATCGTATGGTAGAATGAAAAAGCGATTAAAAGCAGTGTACAATACGAAATCGTATAGTAAGAAAACGCTGAAATGTGGAAACAATAAGCCGCAGCAGACAATCCATAATCTTTTGCAACCCAAGATGGTATAAACGAGCGATATAAAACCGAATGCGAGCATGAAAACTGCTACTGGAGCTATGATGAAGAGCCACTTGGATATGTTAAAGCTTCTTTGGCATGATAAAATTGATATCAAAAAGCAAATTAGCATGTTAGTTGGAAAGACAACGCGAAACACTTTAAAATGGAATAGGGCTGACAAATATCCGATGACGTAGGACATGCTGATGGTAAGCATTAGGAGAAAAACGTAGTTTAGCGGAAACTTCCTTTGCAATGGCTTGAAGGAAATCAAAGAAAGAAAAGTGAACGCGAACAAATGAAACATAATCATCACAGTTGTAATGTGTTGTCTGAGGAAAACTTTCATTGGTGTGTAGAACATGGAGCACAACGTCAAAGCAAAGATAAGTGAAAATTGAACGCATAAGATGATGCATTTTCGGACGAAAGGATGGCTCATTTCTAGTTCGTCGCAGATGAGAGAAAGCCAATTGTTGTTGTAGGGATGCTTGTCACCATTTTGTCCGCTGCATGACGGTTCTTCGATTTCTAGTGTCAGATGTCGGGATTCAGAATGATAATGACCCCAACGTGAAGATGACAGATGGTTTCTGTAGGCATCTACAGCTTCGTTTTGGTGTACATTTGCCTGAAAAATAATATTTTGATTGTGAATATTGTGATATAGAGTGAAAACCCCAATTATTGGCGATTTTTGTTTTGTTAAGATAAACCACTGAAACCTTCAAGCACAGTGATAGTAAATTGTATCGGTCCCCTGGATTTCTTCTCCGTTTTTCTCAATTTTTCCAGTTCAATTTTTGTCTATTCCCGGCTCTTGAGTTTTCGTTTTTTTTTTTTTTTCTTAATTTCTCTTGATAGAGAAAATTCAAGAGCTTGGAATAGGAACAAAATACTTTGTGGCTATTCGTCTGCCAATTTTTTCTCAATTTCTCTAGTAATTCTTGTTCCTATTTCTGAATTTCTCCTGAGCCTGAGATCCACTCGTGGTTTGTTTTGTTCGATAAAAAGAACCTACTCAATAAATTCTAGAAGTATGAAGTCCCTCTGATTGCTTGAGGTATTTTTCAGAAGCATCCAAATGTGATTTAATAGAATTTTTTTATGATTTTATTGCATCTAAGTGAGGCAAAATTCATAATTCTATTTCTGACCTCGAGATCCATTCGCAACTAAGTGAGAAAAAAATTCATAATTCCATTTCTGAGCCTCAAATCCATTCGCGGTTTGTTTTGTTTGATAAAAAGACCCTACTCAATAAATCCTGTAAGTTTGAAGTCCCACTGATATCTCGAATTATTTTTCAGAAGCTTCCAAAGATGGTTTAATAGAAATTTTATATGATTTTTTTGCATTCAAGTGAGAAAAAATTCATAATTCCATTTCTGAGCCCGAGATCCATTAGCGCTTTTTTCTGTTTGATAAAAAGACCCTATTAAATACATCCTGAAAGTTTGAAGTCCCTCTGATTGCTTGGATTATTTTTCAGAAGCTCTCAAATGTGATTTAATTGAAATTTTGTATGATTTTTTTGCATCTAAGTGATAAAAAAATCATAATTCCATTTCTGAGCCCGAGATCCATTCGCGATTTGTTCTGTTTGATAAAAAGACCCTACTCAATAAATCCTGGTAGTATGAAGTCTCTCTGATTGCTTGAAGTATTTTTTAGAAGCTTCCAAAGGTGATTTAATAGAAATTTTGTGTGATTTTTTTGCACCTAAGTGAAAAACAAATTCATAATTCCATTCCTGTGCTGAGATCCATTCGCGGTTTGTTCTGTTTGATAAAAGGACCCTACTTAATAAATCCTGGAAGTTTGAAGTCCCTCTGATTGCATGAAGTATTTTTCAGAAGCTCCCAAATGTGGTTTAATAGAAATTTTGTTTGATTTTATTGCATCTAAGTGAGAAAAAAATCGTAATTCCATTTCTGAGTCTGAGATCCATTCGTGGTTTGTTTTGTTTGATAAAAATACCCTTTTCAATAAATCCTAGAAGTTTGAAGCCCCTCTGATTGCTTGAAGTATTTTCTAGAAGCTTTCAAAGGTAATTTAATTAAAGAAAATTATGATTTTATTGCATCTAAGTGAGATAAAAATTCAAAATTCAATTTCTGAGCCTGAGATCCATTCGCAGTTTGTTCTGTTGGATAAAAAAGCCCTACTCAATATATCCTGAAAGTTTGGAGTCCCTCTGATTGCTTGAAGTATTTTTCAGACGTTTCCAAATGTGACTTAATAGAAATTTTTTATGATTGTATTACATCTAAGTGAGAAAAACATCGTAATTCCATTTCTGAGCCTGAGATCCATTCGCGGTTTGTATTGTTTGATGAAAATACCCCACTAAATAAATCCTATAGGTTTGAAGTACCTCTGATTGCATGAAGTATTTTTCAGAAGCTTCCAAGGGTGATTTAATAGAAATTTTGTTTCGTTTTATTACATCTAAGTGAGAAAAACATCGTTATTCCATTTCTGAGCCTGAGATCTATCCGTGGTTTGTTTTGCTTGAAAAAAATACCCTACTCAATAAATCCTGGAAGTTTGAAGTCCCTCTGATTACTTGAAGTATTTTTCAGAACCTTTTAAATGTGTTTTAATAGAAATTTTGTATGATTTTAATGCATCTATGTGAGAAAAAAATTCATAATATTATTTCTGAGCCTGATATCCAATCGCGGTTTGTACTGTTTGATAAAAAGACCCTAGCCAATAAATCCTGGAAGTTTGAAGTCTCTCTGATTCTTTGAAGTATTTTTAAGAAACTTCCAAATGGGATTTAATAGAAATTTTGTATGATTTTATTGCATCTAAGTGAAAAAAAATTCATAATTCCATTTCTGAGCCTGAGATTCATTCGCGGTTTGTTCTGTTTGATAAAAAGACCCTACTCAATAAATCCTGAAGTTTGAAGTCCCTCTGATTGCATGAAGTATTTTTGAGAAGCTTCCAAAGGTGATTTAATAGAAATTTTGTATGATTTTATTGCATCTAAGTGAAAAAAAATTGTAATTCCATTTCTGAGCCTGAGATCCATCCGTGGTTTGTTTTGCTTGATAAAAATACCCTACTAAATAAAACCTGGAAGTTTGAAGTCCCTCTGATTGCTTGAAGTATTTTTCAGAAGCTTCCAAAGGTGATTTAATAGAAATTTTGTATGATTTTTTTGCATCTAAGTGTGAAAAAATTCATAATTCCATTTCTGAGCCTGAGATTCATTCGCGGTTTGTTCTGTTTGATAAAAAGACCCTACTCAATAAATTTTGAAAGTTTGAAGTCCTTCTGATTGCATGAAGTATTTTTCAGAAGCTTCCAAAGGTGATTCAATAGAAATTTTGTATGATTTTATTGCATCTAAGTGAAAAAAAATCGTAATTCCATTTCTGAGCCTGAGATCCATCCGTGGTTTGTTTTGATTGATAAAAATACCCTACTAAATAAAACCTGGAAGTTTGAAGTCCCTCTGATTGCTTGAAGTATTTTTCAGAAGCTTCCAAAGGTGATTTAATAGAAATTTTGTATGATTTTTTTGCATCTAAGTGAAAAAAAATCGTAATTCCATTTCTGAGCCTGAGATTCATTCGCGGTTTGTTCTGTTTGATAAAAAGACCCTACTCAATAAATTTTGAAAGTTTGAAGTCCTTCTGATTGCATGAAGTATTTTTCAGAAGCTTCCAAAGGTGATTTAATAGAAATTTTGTATGATTTTATTGCATCTAAGTGAAAAAAAATCGTAATTCCATTTCTGAGCCTGAGATCCATCCGTGGTTTGTTTTGCTTGATAAAAATACCCTACTAAATAAAACCTGGAAGTTTGAAGTCCCTCTGATTGCTTGAAGTATTTTTCAGAAGCTTCCAAAGGTGATTTAATAGAAATTTTGTATGATTTTTTTGCATCTAAGTTAGAAAAAAATCATAATTCCATCTCTAAGCCTAAAATCCATTCGCGGATTGTTTTTTTTTTATAAAAAGGCCCTACTTATTAAATCCTAAAAGTTTGAAGTACCTCTGATTGCCTGAAGTATTTTTCAGAAGCTTCCAAAGGTGATTTAATAGAAATTTTGTATGATTTTTTCGCATCTAAGTGTGAAAAAATTTATAATTCCATTTCTGAGCCTGAGATCCATTCGCGGTTTGTTCTGTTCGATAAAAAGACCCTACTTAATAAATCCTGAAAGTTTGAAGTCTCTCTGATTGCATGAAGTATTTTTCAGAAGCTTCCAAATGTGATTTAATAGAAATTTTGTATGATTTTATTGCATCAATGTTTTAATTAGATGACTTTCTTACCTTGGGGGATTTCTCGTTCCTTCTTAATAAAACAAACGAGTCTCCTCCGGTTCTGGTGGTGTTTTTTCCAGCACAAGCTTCCAATGTAGTGAAATTTTCCTTTACATCCATGGCTTCTGGAAAACATAGGTAATAAATGCAATTTCAGGAATAATGGAAATATTGTGTACTTAGTTTCTAGTGATTTAGAGCTTCAAATCTTTCGAGAATAGTTTATCTGGCTGTACTTATTCGAAAAATTGGATTCGCTATTGATTGTAACTTACCTATGCTCAAATATTTCCCCGTGTGAGAGATTTATGGAAATAATATCATCTGCTTCAGTGAATTTCGCCCAGGTTCCACTTTACCCTTCAAATTACCCTCGAATGAACCAGTATAAATATAAAATAGTGTAAAATCTCGGTATAAATATACAAGAGTGTAAAAGATTTACCAAAATGTAAATGATTTTTGGTTCTAATGACAAATTGTAAGTGACGGACACGCATGGTTCGGCAATTGATTACAGGTATCTGTAATACCTCAACCACCCCACAAGGCTAGTAGAGCATAAGAGGAGAGATGGATCGAGAAAAGCCGCCATGTTATGACGTCATCCAGCGTCCCCGTTTATTATTTAAGTTTTTCTTCGTGTTGGGCATAATATATGGATAAAATAAGAACTCTGCAAGAAATAAAATGAATTGAGTGGACCCAGAACACACATGAAATATACATAAACCCAATTTTCGTTGGGCTGGACATATTTCCAGAATGGAAAATTCAAAATAGTCCTTCCTAAGACAACAGAATGGGAACTTTGGGTTAAAAAGAGAGGTCCATGATGCTTAATATTACGATTTCAGAATAGCATCCGCAAGGTAGCGATATACAGGGTGTCCTTAGATAAACGGACATGACACATTTGGCAGGCAAATATCTCCAAAACGAGGAAAGATAACGATATGCGGTTTGTTTTGATAGAATAAGTTTTTTTTCACAATATTGCCGAATCCCAAAATTTGCTGGAACTTGATTTCACCGACATGCGATTTTTTGAAATAAAATTACTGCCTCATTTTTAATAAATTACCCTGTATATTCTGTCATCGTCAGAAAGCCTGATTTTACAAAATAGAATATATTTTTTTCAATTATCTTGAAATGCACTTTGTTAAAAAGGATACCATCAACAGCCGAGAAATACTTCAAGCCATTAGAGAGGCTTCAAACTTTCGGGAATATGGAGTAAGGTTTCTTTTTCAACCAAAAAAAACCGCGACTAGATCTCAGGCACAGGAATGGAATTATGGATTTTTTTCTCACTCACATGTGAAAAAAATCATGTGATAATTTCTATTAAAAACCTCTGGAAGCTTCTGAAAAATACTTCAAGCAATCAGAGGAACTTCAAACTTTCGGGATTTATTGGGTAGTTTCTGTTATTAAAACAAAACAAACCGGGAGTGGATCTCAGGCTCAGAAATAAAATTATGATTTTTTTCTTATCTAGATGCAAAAATATCAGGTAAAATTTCTATTAAATCACCTTTGTAATCTTCTGAAAAATACTTCAAGCATTCAGAGGTTCTTCAAACTTCCAGGATTTATTGAGCAGTGTCTTTTTAGCAAACAAAACAAACTGTGAGTGGATCTCAGGGTCAGAAATGAAATTATGATTTTTTTCTCATTCAGATGCAAAAAAATCATGTAAAATTTCTAATAAATCACCTTTGGAAGCTTCTGAAAAATACTTCGAGCACTCAGGAGGGACTTCAAACTTTCGGGATTTATTGAGTAGGGTCTTTTATTCAAACAAAATAAACCGCGAGTGGATCCCAGGCTCAGAAATGGAATTATGATTTTTTTCTCACTTAGATGCAAAAAAATCAGGTAATTGCATCAGTTTTAATTAGATGACTTTCTTACCTTGGGGGATTTCTCGTTCCTTCTTGATAAAACAAACGAGTCTCCTCCGGTTCTGGTGGTGTTTTGATATTTAAATCACCTTTGTAATTTTCTGGAAAATACTTCAAGTATTCAGAGGGTCTTTAAACTTCCAGAATTTATTAAGCAATGTCTTTTTAGCGAACAAAACAAACTGTGAGTATATGCCAGGCTCAGAAATGGAATTATAAATTTTTTTCTGACTTGGATGCAATAAAATCATGTAAAATTTCAAATTTGGAAACTTCTGAAAAATACCTCAAGCAATCAGAGGGACTTCCAACCTCCAGAATTTATTGAGTAGGGTTTTTTTATCGAACAAAACGAACCACGAGGTCGATCTCAGGTTTAGAAATGGATTTATGATTTTTTCTCACTTAGATCGTTGATTCTTAGATGCAAAAAAATCGTCTACAATTTCTATTAAATCACATTTGGAAGCTTTTGAAAAATACTTCAAGCAATCAGAGGGACTTCAAACTTTCAGGATTTATTGAGTAGGGATAGTAGGGTCTGTGGCGGATGTCCGCCCCAGATCCGTTGGCAACCATGCAAATGGAGCGGCAACGCGGTACACCAGCGGTAGGAACGTCAACTGTCTCCGAGTCCCGGCCAGCTGATGACTGACACAAGTCCGACGCCCGCTCGAATAATAAAAACAACACGCCCGAACAATTTCTATTTTTTCATTTTTACCGATGTTTTATTTTTGTATTTGGCATAAATAAACAGTAGATTAATTAAGTTGATCAGTGCGCCTTATTTGCCCGCCGCAAACCGGCCACAGTGGTGACCCCGACAAACGCGTGAGTGCGACGTGCTACCATCCAAAGAACCTTGACTCTTGACTCTTGCCCGCGTGTGCAGTGCCCCAAAATTCACACCCACACGGCCCTCGTCTAACACGGCCAACGACGACGCCATGGACCCAACCGACGATCAGACCATAATCGCCCGTGTAGGGATCAAAGCGCCAGAATTTTGGTGCGCCGAACCAGAACTATGGTTCCTTCGACTCGAAGCACAGTTTCGGCAAGCAAAGATAACAACAGACAACTGTAAGTTTGACCACACGGTGACTAGTTTAAACAGCGAGGTCCTATCAGAGGTAGCCGACATAATACGAAACCCAACTGGAGGTACTTCTTATGAAGATCTAAAAACCCGCCTTCTCGAAAGATACGGTACTAGTGCTGATGAAAGAACCCGCCGACTGCTGGAGATAACCTTGGGTGATTTCAAGCCGACCCAGCTTCTCCATCGCATGCAAGCCCTAGCCACCACCAATGTAAGTACAGAGGTACTGAAAAATCTGTGGCTCGACCGCCTACCGCCCCAAGTCCGAGGGGTAATATCCGTCCTGGATGGAGACCTAGAAGAGCTGGCGAAGAAGGCTGACAAGTTCATACGCAATAACAGCCTTCCAGTTATGTCTATTGAGGAGAAGCCCACCTTAGAGAAAACTGTAGCTGAACTAGGCGACCAGATAAGAGCTCTGTCTGCGAAATTAAGTGTCGACGAGAAATCGCAGGAACTTCGACCTGCCCGAACAACCAACACTGCAGTCGCTGATGGGCAGTGCTATTACCACCGAAGGTTTGGCCCGCAAGCCAAGAAGTGCAGACCCCCATGCACTTATTCAAAAAACGACCAGGGGGCGCAGTAGTGGCGACAACCGTGGCCTCCCATAGACACCGTCGCCTGTTCGTGACAGATAAACTGCTCCAACTCCAGTTCCTCATCGACACCGGAGCTGACCTAAGTGTGCTGCCACGTAAGATCTGCACCGCTACACAACCAAGCACTATCAGCCTGTACTCCGCCACTGGTTCCCGTATCAGAACGTATGGGCATAAGCAATTGGAGTTGAACCTCGGTCTTGGCCAACCGGTCACGTGGACCTTTGTAGTTGCAGACGTCACCACCGCCATCCTAGGCGCTGACTTTCTCACACAACATGGCATCACCGTAGACATGCGCAGAAAGCGCCTTGTTAGTCCCACCGCTCCGAGCAGCATTGCATGTGTGTCCCGAACAGTGAAGGAGCCGGAAGTGGGGCTATCGACGGCCCACCCCTACGATCGCTCAACTGGTATGTCTGATAATCCTGGAAAAGTCCAGCACTACATTGATACCCAAGGATCCCCGGTATTCTCCAAACCACGTAGGCTCCCGCCAGACCGCCTACAAGCCGCACGAGCCGAGTTCAACGACATGATGCAAGCACACATAGTTCAGCCATCAAAATCTCCATGGGCCAGCCCACTTCACATGGTACAAAAAGCCAACGGCCAGTGGCGTGCTTGCGGAGATTTTCGCCGACTGAACGCCATTACCAAACCTGATCGCTACCCAGTGCCACATATTCAGGATTTCGCCAACCAGCTACATGGCAAGAAAATCTTTTCGACCATTGACCTCATACGTGCTTTTTACCAGATCCCAGTCCGCCCTAGAGATGTACAGAAAACGGCTGTGATCACGCCCTTTGGCCTGTACGAATTTCTAAAGATGCCCTTTGGCTTACGAAACGCCGCCCAGACACTGCAGCGCTACCTCGACCACCTCTTCCGAGGGTGCCCCTTTGTTTACATTTACATCGACGACATCCTGGTAGCCTCCACGACGGAAGCTGAACACGAACAGCACCTGGCATCAGTCCTACGGATCCTAAAAGAGAACGGGCTTCAAATCAACCTGGAGAAATCTAAATTCCGGACCCGTGAAGCCCATTTTCTGGGCGTCATTGTCTCTCCGACTGGTGTCAGACCTTTGCCGGCTAAAGTCAGTGCCATCCGAGACTTTCCACAACCCACAACGTACAAACAGCTACGCCGCTTCATGGGAATGGTCAATTTTTACCGACGCTGGTTACCAAGCGCTGCAACCGAGCTCATGCCACTAACCGAGCTATTGGCCCATCAGAAAAAAAAGCAACAAGACCTCAGCTTGACCCCAGCAGCAGCAGCTGCCTTCTCCAGAGTTAAAGAACTCTTGGCCACCGCTGCAGAGTTGGTCTTCCCAGCACCACAGGCCCAGTTAAGCATGTCAGTCGACGCCTCCGACACCGCAATTGGTGGTGTACTGCAACAACTGGTCGACGAACACCTACAACCCATAGCCTTTTTCTCACAAAAGCTATCCGTAACACAGCGAAATTACAGTACCTACGACCGTGAGCTGTTGGCCATATTCAGTGGCATCCACCATTTCCGCCATTTTCTCGAGGGCACTCAGTTCACAATCTACACTGACCATAAGCCTTTGACATACGCCTTCCAGCAGCGTCACGACCGCCAGTCCCCACGACAAATTGGGCAGCTCGAATTTATTGGCCAATTTTCCACCGACATCCGACACGTCCAAGGTGCAGCAAACATTGTCGCTGATTGTCTCTCGCGACCTGAGGTAGACGCCCTCGCAGCGCCTATAACCATCGACTTTGACAGGCTCGCTGAAGCCCAAACTACAGACGAGAGCCTACAACAGATCCTACATGATCCTGCCAGCTCCCTACACCTCCAACG